GTCCCGGACGCTGGTAGACGCTAGATCGATAAATATACTTTCTTAGCCCTCGAGACGCTGGCGCACGCTGGTAGACGCTGGAGGACGCTGGAAGACGCTGACAGACGCTAGATCGATATCTATACTTTCCTGGTCGCTGACGCTGCCGGACGCTCGGAACGCTGGTGGACGCTGCCGCAAAGTATGAACGCGGCCCTATAGCTCAAGGGTTGAGAAGTAATTAGTTCTATTTAGTGATGACATCACCATTGTCACCGCATTAATGGACATTGGGAGAGGCGATTGGGATCGCTATCGCCGTCCTCTCGAACAGTACCATTTGTTCATGGAGAACCTACTGTCTCTTCAGAATAATATGGTAAGTTCAAGGCCGGTTTATGCCCCATACGTTATAGTATGAGACTGATGCTAGCTCTCGGATATTGGTACAGATGCTTTATTAGATTGACGATCTTCCTCCTTCTAACCGAACCCTATACAGACTATAATTGAAAAGATAAAGGAAAAATCTTCGCCGCTGATCAGTTTCTTTTGGGATGCGGCACGCATTCTACTTCCATTCAGAATCGTAGTGGCTTATTGAATGCGATGTGGCCTATACAATGACTTGGGGGAGGGGAGGGGGGGGGAGCAGCCCACGTATAGGTCAGTGTTCTTATGCTCTTAGACAAGTCCGGCACCACCAGTCCGCGGACAACAACGTTTAGGGGCTGTGGGAGATAGCCGATCCGCAATTCGATCCTAACACCGTGCGCGTGGTATCGTCATTTACACCACCTTCCCCTTCGAATTTAAACAGATTTAAATGTGAATATGTGATTCTATCTAGGAAGAATCATCGGTACATAGTTGCCTCCGGTTTAGGTAAATCTTCACTGATGAATCAAGCTACAGTTTCATTCATAAATACAGGAAAAACATGGGTGAAATACATCGCACAAAGGTAGGCTATATGGTTTTCCACTTTTATTCCCCACTATGTTCTTTTTCTTCGTTCTTTTCTTTTTTCTTCTCAATGTTCTCTTTACATGTTGTCTAGCCGGTGGAATGCCAATAAAATTCTCATTTGGTTCCAGATCAATCTTGATACTTTATGATCTGCAACTAGCCCACGTCATTTGGATTGCTGCAAGTTAAAAATAAATCGAACACACGAGCACAGACAACCGGACGAACTGTTGCTGCGGTCGATGGGATCCAGCGATGAGAGACCACCCAGAAGCAAGAAGTGCCGAGTATGACGTACTCGTCAACTCAAAAACCTATTTTCTCTACAATGCAACCGTGAGTATCAGTGCTCTGGGTTCATGTTTAAATGCATTACGCACGATAATTTGGTACTACCTACCTAAAGAAACAACGTACGTTCAGCTGCGAGGTGTGTCTTCGAGGCTAACGAGCGCTCAGCTGTCGGAGCATAGCGGGGCGTTTTCCCTGTCCGAACATGCGCGGAATCCACGGTCCTGGATGCTCATCCTCGTGCATGCGCGGACGGGGAAACCGCTACGCTTCAACAGCTGGGGGCTCATAAGCCCCGGAGACGCACCTCGAGCTCGCGTACGTTGTGTCTTTAAAGCAGGGGTGCTATATAGTGGAAAAAAAAACGAAAAAGCGAAAGTTAAACGGCAAAAAAACCTGCGAAAACCTTTGTTTACCACGGTTACAGACGAGCATTTCTGGACGAGTTTCGCGTTGGGAACGTGCCAGTGACCGCTTTGTAGATACAGTTACACGTACGTGTTCATATATCCATGTAGCAACGCTTCATAACAATTCTACTTCATAAATGGATAACAATTCTACTTCATAAATGGAGCGATAACATTTCCAGAGTCGATGTGACTGTGCGGTCATTTGTGAGCGGATGGTTGCGGTGGGCGTCTGGGTCGGCATTGGTTAGGCGCTATAGCGGTGATCCTGGTTGGAAAAGGCGCCACGCAGCGCCTGTTGAGGGAATCAGTATTCTTTGGTGCTAGGCGTATCGACTCTGGACGCCTTGTCGATTTATCATGCCCCTTGCCTTCCAGTGTTAGACTTATCAACAGTCTTGTTCGCCGCTGATGGTGGGGCGTGTCAAGGGGCTGAGCTTGGCACTGCACCACCCCGCTTTCCACAACTGTTATCATCGGCTTGCTTCAACAAACGGCGAGAACGGGTCGCCGCTGCGCCAAACCCAGTCAACTAGCATGTCCCAGCATCCGCAGCGAACAAGACTGTAATATCATGCTGTATGAAAATCAATGAACAGGTGCATTGAAACTGTTGTAATCCGAACAGCGTTTGCAAAGTAACAGTTTCAGCTAGAAGACCCATTCTCGACCGAGTTCTTCGTTTGGATCGATGCGGGCTACGGACATGGTAACCAGAGTGTCTTCCCCTACAACAATAAATGGAAGCCGGTATTCCCACGCAATAAGATCTCCCTGATCAAGGTTAGTATAAGTACAGTGGTTGGCAACACAATTCAGTGAAGTACTTTGGAAACTCTGCGAATGACAGGAATCGTCCGGAACAGAAAGGAATGACTGGATTGTATAGAAATGGTGATAAATGATGAAGTTGTTGAAGGCAGTTGGCACGATTTCATGTGTACTTTGAAAAAGAGCAAAGGTGCCCAGTAATGCAAAAATAGTGAAAAAACGGGGCGAAATGGTGGGGAAACCACGAAATGGGGGCTTTATTTCTTCGCTGCACTGCGGCAGTGGACGAGCGAACGGCTGGGCGCTGCTTTGGACGAGTCTACCGATTGAACCGTTTACTGCTGGCAAAAAGCCAGCAGTACGTTCTACATCGCTCTCCGTCACGTAGGCACGGGCGGCCCACAACTGCACGTCCTCGTGCTGTGATGCTATACGTCCAGTGGTAGGCGGGCGGGCGAGGTAGGCGTGCAGTTCGTTATGTTGCTGCTCAATAGGGCGCTCTGAGGGTGC